CCCTGCCCCGTCGGGCGCTCTTGGAAGCTGGGGGGTGTTGGGGCTGGAGAAATGCCTGGTGGGCCAGCTGGGAGGGGGGGGGGGCGGGCAAGGTGTGTCTTGCTGTAACAGCTTTTAAGATGGCTTCACTGTTGCTAAGTTAGAGCAAGCCCGTTTACAAAAGCAGATTGCACAGGTTAGAAGTTTTCAGGCTGAGGCAGTGCCTTTAACTTAGCAAAGACCAGCCACTGACTTCCTTCCTGTACCAGCTTTCCAAGAGGACACTAAATGCCTTTTTACCCTAATATTTTTACCACGGGTTTTACGGGGCTTCTCTTCTTTGTTCACGTCAGATGAGAGCTCTGGCTGGAGCACTTGCCACATTCACTGCACTGGTAGGTTTTCCACATTCAGTGCACTGGTAGGGTTTTCCCCTGTGTGGTTCTCTGATGTTGAATAAGGTGGGAACTCTGGCTGAAACATCGGCCACGTTCGTCACACTGATAGGGTTTTTCTCCAGTATGAATTCTCTGGTGCCGAATGAGATTTGAACACTGTTTAAACCTTTCTCCACACTCATCCCGTTTATAGGGCTTTTCCCCAGTATGGATCCGTCGATGCTGAATGAGATTAGAACTCTGAAAGAGACTTTTCCCACAATCAGCACATTTATGGGATTTCTTTCCAGTATGAATCTTCTGGTGCTGAAACAGAGCTGAACTTGGACTGAAACTCTTTTCACATTCAATACATGTGTAGGGTTTCTCACCCAAGCTTCTTCTCAGTCTACTCAAGCTCGAGTCGAATCGAACAGTCATTCTGCATTTCTGCTGCTGCCGGCCTGTTTTGCGCTTGTTCTCACAGGCTTTTCCTTGGCTTGAACTCCGAGTAACATCCCCTTTAGGCTTCCCTAATCTCACGGTGAATAGCCAAATGTATTTGTAAGAGAGTCTACTGTCTTCTTCTGAACTAATGTCTCATTTTCTAGAACTACACAGCTCAGAATTTTTTTTTCTAGATTGTAATGAACCAACAAAGAGGACAATTCTTTGAAAACCACGTGGGCCGGCCGCTGCCCCAATAATCATTTTGTTATGTCACATATCCTGTGGACAGGAGTTAGGACAGAGTCCAGCAGAGATGGCTGGTCCCTCATCCATGATGTTTGGGGCCTCATTTGGGAAGACATGGATGGCAGGGGAGGCTCTAATGGCTGATGCTGTTACCATCTGGAGGCCTCTGCACCCATGTGTCAGGAGCAGGGGCTGGGGCTACCCAAGACTGGCCTGTTGCCCAGAGACCCTCTTCATGCGGCAGTGGGGTTCTAGGAAAGGGTATCC